CCGTACTTTGTGCTTCATTTGATTGGCTCATAAAGTCTTCCACCAATTTCTTGACATGGGAATTTGTGGTTAAATCATCAGACCTTGATTTAGCAAATGTAAAGGACTTTGCTCCTTTGTTGTCATGGTGTCCGTTACTTGCAACATCTAGTTTTGTTTTGGAAGTGTGGAACTGTTTTTCTGATAGCAAAGGCGAAAATCCCAATTCTTTATTTGATGGAGAAGCAGCGGAACATCTAGATATAATCTCTACTGACAATTCACTCACATTTTCATGCTTCTTGGGCATCCTTGATGCCTCATTTGACATCGAATGCACATACTCGATACATGACATGGCACTAGAGGCTGATTCACTCCGGCTATGAGTATATGACTGCTCAGGCGAAGAGCAGTCATTCTTTTCGATATCCTTGCTTCGGCTTTCATTATATTCCCCATCTAATCTAATCAAGGCATCAACTTTCAGCTTCTCAAATCCATTTGCAGCTTCAGAAGATGACCTTGATCCAGAACTGCTTCTGGGCAAAGAACAACGAAAACTATCTGTATGGACAAAATGATGAGAAGATACACCATTGGATAGGGATGAATCAGGAACAGAATTATCACATTCAGAACTAGTTGAAAGATGCATATTGTTTTCCTCACACCAGTTTGCTATCATAGCTTTGACAGTGTAATTGGGAATGAGATTTGTGTGTGCAAGAACTTGATGGGTCTTCGGACAAATGGTCAACCCATGATCAAGCCACTTTTGGATGGAAGCCCTGTCATACGTTTGACCAGAGGCCAGAATGACAGGATCCAACATGAGTTCCAACGATAATGGGCAGCGGAAGTATGGAGGAATCAGGATGCTACTTTTGGCATCAAAAGCCTCCATTTTGAGCATGCAATCGCGTATATAGGAGACAAGATCCACAATTTGGTTCTTTTCATCTAAATCTCCTTTCGATCTACTGGCTTGAGCATTAATCCTCTCCTTTTCAACAGCCATACTTTCTTTCAACAGTTCTTGATTTGAGGTCAAACCAAGTAATTGAGTCAGTTTTACAAGCTGATCAGCGCAAGGAACAATATCTTCCCTTAGACATCTAAGAGCATCCTCTATATGTTCTGATACCCTTTCCTGCTTCAGACACTTGAGCTCCTGTATGCAGTGCTGAAACAGTTTACCATACATTAGTCTCACTAGTCATGCTCAACCTTACAACAGAGAATCCTGCCAATCACATGAATTCTTGGAAAAGGGAATCACCAAGAAATAAAACTGAATAAGATGTCTGGCATCAAGAGCAATTTCATCATATAAAGAATGAAGAATGCAATGGATCAAATCGATTTCACATACTTGAACACGTGTTACACTAGAAGTTGATGAAGATGACTGCAGCAATCTAAATAATATAAGACAAATCTCAAGCGATGATCTTTGAATTTTCATCAACAGAGGCTCACTCTGCAGAACCTGGAGACATAATATTAAAAGAAAAAAACTAAAATCATAACCTGAAGAAACCTGCCTAACAGAAAGGAAGAAAAGAAGTATATATATAGCATAGATTAGAAGGTCTCTCACTTCCCATTTCATGTACGCATTTGAGATATATGTCACGAAGTATCAAGAGGGTTCATTAAATCCTCCCTAGAATACAGAGGATGACCCCTTAACAAAAAATTGAGGATTTGGAACCATCTGTTCTTAAAAATTTAATGATGGATTTTTATTCTCCCTTGTGAACATATGGATTAAAAAGATACTAACATAAATTGAAGATGAAATTGAACACAGTATGAACTACTATTTTTATCAAAATCTGCATACCATTTAAATTGTATTACTATTTCTTTTCTAGAGAATTGATATTTGCAACAAAAAAGTCACTATGGGTCTTTTTCCTTATTTCACAAGGCTTTGCATAAAATCAATTGCTTACACTGCAAATCTTGCTTATCTTCGGAGACCAGTTCTCTACGAATTCACGTGCCTCATTAACAGCCATATCTAGGTTTTCACACTCTTTATATAGGATAACATCTGAAGGTATCTTGGATTCAACAACTTCATCAAGGACTGATTTCAAGAGTTTCAAGACAACAGCCATACTCTTGTAGTCCATTTGAAGAGCTGTAACTTTTATAGTCTGACAAGAGACAAGATGAACAAATCGAGAAATACTGTTGATGAGGCATCGGATAGGCACTACATCCATCTTGCCTGCTTCAAATAAAGCATCTGAAAACATAAATTTCACTGGGAAAGAAAGAAGAAGAAATAAGTATGAAGTATTTTCCAATTTTCCTTAGTGCCCTTGACAAACACTGAAAACCCTGATCAAAATAAATTTAAAAATAGTATAGAAGTTACTATTTAAAAAAAAAACAAAAGAAAAAAGAAATATTCCACACTGAGAAAAGTGGATTGAGACCAAATCCTGATATAGATACAACTTAGCATATCCCTATATCCAATTTCCAAAAGACTCATACAGCAGAAAGATTGACTTTGATATATCCTTTGAAAAAACAGCTTTCCGGAAAACATTAAAGTAGGAAGATCCTTTTGGAATGAATCTTTTCCAAGTCATTCCTTGGCACTTTCCCAGTTGACTTCTGCCTCCATAAACTGTGTAAACCCGTTTGACCAGATTCATATTTGAAAATCGATTTTTTACAACGTATTTTATGCAAGAAAGGTTCAGACAGCCATAGCCATTAGGCTTGGTGAACATTCAAGAAGTCCATGAATAAACTGAGATTTTAAACAAAAAAAGAAAAGGAAAATATGGGTCTTGATCTTGCATTATTTGAGAACTAAAAGAGGAAAACAAAACAAACACCGCCGAGTGATTTAGTGAACAGAGCTTTCCATTTGGGGAAACCGAAGCATCACGAGATCCATGATTACCCTTTCTCTTCAAATTGTTGAGAAACAATATTTATGTTTTTTTAACCTTTTTACCCAAAAAAAAAAATACAATAACCTCAATTATGTATTGAAAAATAAACCTATCAATCAAATTCCAGAAA